ACCAAATTTTGGCGAGCGCTTCCATATGTCAAGAACGTTTCGGAAGCTGTCGGCCGCCTTCTCGCACCACTTATGGTTGGAGTTGCACACATACCGGAGGCAACCATCAGGCGTCTGGTAATGAAACCGAAAGACCCACTGCCACGGCTAGAAACATCTTGAGTCGTATATCGGATTTGGGGCATTTGCGGACAAAGCAACTACGCCGGTGAAACCGGAAGACAGATCCACACGCGAATGGCCGAACACGCTGCAGCGGTTTGGAGAAATGACGCCAGCACTCAAGTTGCGGTCCATTCGACGAGATCCAGGCACACATTCAAATTCGACGAGGTCGACATTCTCGCAAGAGGTGACGACCGCGTGATCCGGGAGCTGCTTGAGTCATGGTTTACTGGCCCCCAGTCAATTGACAAGTGCAATGCTCTTCCCATTCCATACACGGTGCTGAGACTTCGCCTAGGCGGAGTAATTAGTCACGCGGGGAGCGCACAGGTGAACACTTTTCCCAACACCAGGGTCGGTGCGTCAGATGGTCGAGCGATTATCACACCAACATCCAACGCACGTGATGAAATTGCAGCAATTAAAGAAGCGAATGCCGGCCATCACACCACGTGCAACGATTCCTGATGAAGGGAGGAGTCGTGAATATTCATAGGTATGCGGTAGTATGACTACTACAGTACCTGTGCTAACTCATGAAATGTTACGAATTAACACAGGTTAACGCCTTTAACGCAAAATCGGTAAACACTACGGCTCCCAAAGTCTGATAGCGGAAAATAAACGATGTGCCAAAGAAATAAAGCAAAGTTTGGTTTAGAAAATATTATTTACTGAGATAAAAATAAATAATTTTCGACAAAAGTCACATTTTCGAGAAACGCCTATATTACAACCAAGTTAATAAAGGCTACGTATGAGGACGTATAAAGGAGGAGGGCGCATAAAAGGTCAAAAATAATTAAGGACAGAAACAGACACAAAAAATTAGTACTTTGTAGATTGTCCATTCGAATTAATAACAGCAGAAAGTCTGTCCGACATAGACATGACAAGGTTATCTATGGTGGATTGTAAAATGTAATTATTGAGTATGAAATCCAATTTTTCCTGCATTGAAAGAGTCTTCTTAGCTTTGTGCCAATTTCTTTTGACTATTCCAAAAAGATTTTCGATTGGATTAAGGTCGGGACTGTTGGCCGGGATGAAAATGGATTGGAGGCCAATTGCGGAGAGCGTGGTTGTTGTCTAAAATGTTAGATTATGTTTGCAAGCGGCATCAAATTCGTACCTCTTTAGAGCGGTGGACAGGTGCATTGTCCTGCAAAATTACAGTATCCATTCGGCGCCGACTTATGCCGTTGTAGCCGAAAGCATCCTTGACAATTGCAATGAACACCTTGCTGTTGATGGTGTCGGATGTTGACCGCCAGACAGGCCGCTCACCGAATTTAATCGCCATCCAAACCATCATCCGCCGACAGTTCTTGAATGTTGCCGTCGGTGTAGTATGTTCTCTTGGGAAGTTCTTTCCACATATGACAGTTTGGAGCGACTTCGTAGGCTTGTCTAAAAATAGAACCTCATCGCAGAAGAAAATGCTCTTCCAAAATGAAGATCTGTATTCAATATAATTCTTAGCAAATAAAAGCCGTTCTCTAATTAGTTTTCTACTTAAATATGGCTTAATCATGGCCTTCCGCCGCTGCAGTTCAAATTCCTTCATCCTTTTTCTAATGATGTTCATAGAAAACATCGGCAGATGTTCCCGCTGAATGGCCTCAATGGGCATGTAATGGAACTTTTTTAATGTACGACGAATAAAATCGTCGTCTTGCTTACTTGTGGACCGTTTTGGTCCCCCCTATAATTTTGACCTCGGCATTTCATGAGTTAGCACAGGTACTGTACATCCCATAAATACTGCAGCTCCTTATGCATGAACCACCCGTATCTGTTTTGTCTCCGGTGATGGGTTCGAGCAGGAATGCGAAACGTCAGGCTAATAAAGCTCTTGTCACGGCGATCGTGTCTTCTTCAAGAATGCGTTCTCTCCTTGGAGACATGCAGGCTAGAAGTTTTCGACGTCTCGGCAGCTACTGCTGATATCACGGCAAGGAAGACGGAAGAACTAATAGCGAGATACGACATCCCCACGGAGATTGTGACGGATAACGGCACTCAGTTCACGTCATCAATTTTCCAACAACTGTGTCAGAAATGGGGAATTCGACATGTGACGTCACCACCATTCCATCCACAATCGAATGGCCAGGCAGAACGTTTCGTCGACACGTTCAAGAGAGCGATGAAAAAGATGTGGAACACAGGTGTTAAACTGGAGTATCTCAACACATTCCTCTTTGCCTATCGAACAACTCCAAAAAGTGATCTTGGGGGCCAGACACCAGCCGAACGGTTTTTGGGACGACAGCCGGATACGCGATTACAGTACCTACAACCGGAAGCTCGAGTTCGACAAACAACAAAACATTACTTTCGCGAGGGAGAGGAGGTGTCTGCTCGCAACTACAAAGCCGGCGAGAAGCCCTGGATAGAAGGCATAATAAGAAAATCCAGAGGTGTTGTGTTTGAGGTGGAGACAGCAGCTGGAAGAATAAAGAGGCATGCAAATCAGCTCAGGACTAGACACACCAAAGACAGTCAAATGGCACTCGACCTGCTGGGTGATACCTTTGAGGTTCCAACCTCCAGGGTAGACAGTCAGACAACATTACCCGTCGTTCGTAGAAGTAGCAGAAGAACGCAACCGCCAAGGAAACTGGTCCTGGACCCGAAGAAGAAGAGGTACGAGGTCCAACTTTCAAAAGCGGGAGGTGTTATGGAGAGTGAAAGCGGCGTAGAGCCACGGCCTAAGGCGCTAAACAGGGGACCACGCCGGCGACGTGGGTCACGCGGGAAGTTAGACGACCGACCGGCGCGCACTGCAGCGCCGGGCGCGCGTAGTGGCTCTGCTCACGTGTGCGGCCCAATCAATGGCTGGTCGAACATCCCAGACGTTTCCGCGGGGGGCTATCGCGCACGCGGTGGCCAATCAGCGACCAGCACGCTCGGGGCAGGAACATTCTAGAACGCTCTCAACGGCTGGCACGCCATTGGACGGAATGTTCCAGAACGCACGGGAGCCAATATAAATAGCACACCTTTCTTACGAGTTGGAACCCCCTCCTGTCCGCAAGTTCCAATAAAGTGCTTGTCCTCCGAACCGGCTCTCTTCCTGTCCTACCTTCCTTCCGGGTCATAACAAACTCAAAGACGTTCCTCTGACCACCGGCTCTGGTACCATACTTTGTGACGTTTCGACTCCCTTTCATCGCCTTTTTGTGCCCGCCTCGATGCGTCGAGCCGTATTTCAAACTCTGTATGGACTCACCCACCCTGGGATCCGAGCCTTTCAAAAGCTCCTCTCAGAAAGGTTTGTCTGGCCTGGCATGAACAAGGACTTCAAAGCTTGGGCCCGATCATGTCTGAATTGCCAGCGCAACAAGGTGCAACGCCACAACAAGTTCCCACCAGGCACTTTCCCCAGTCCTGACGCACGGTTCAGCCATGTGCACCTGGATTTCGTAGGCCCCATGCCTCCATCCAATGGTTTCACCTACCTCCTTACCTGTGTCGATCGATATACTCGCTGGGCCGAAGCT